CATCTAGTCCAACTGCCTGACCCCTTCAGAGCTGACCAAAAGTTAAAGCATGTTGTTAAGGGCATTGTCCAAATGCCTCTTAAACACTGACAGGCTTGGGGCATTGACCACCTCTCTAGGAAGCCTGTTCCAGTGTTTGACCACCCTCTCAGTAAAGAAATGCGTCCTAATGTCCAATCTAAACCTCCCCTGGCACAGCTTTGAGCCAGTCCCATGTGCCCTATCACTGGATCACAGGGAGAAGAGGTGAGCCCCTCCCTCTCCACTTCCCCTCCTCAGGAAGCTGTTAGAGAGCAATGAGGTCACCCCTCAGCCTCCTTCTCTCCAAACTAGACAAGCCCAAAGTCCTTAGCTGCTTCTCACAGGACATTCCCTCCAGCCCTTTCACCAGCTTTCTTGCCCTCCTCTGGACACATTCAAGGACCTTCACACCCTTCTTAATTACGGGCCCCAGGACTGCACACAGTATTCAAGGTGAGGCCACACCAAAGCTGAATACAGCGGGATAATCACCTCTTTTGAGCAGCTGGTTTTGCTGTGTTTGATGCACCCCAGGATGCGGTTTGCCCTCTTGGCTGCCAGGGCACACTGCTGACTCATATTGAGCCTGCTGTCGACCAGCACCCCCAGATCCCTTTCTGCAGGGCTGCCCTCCAGCCGCTCCTCTTCCAATTTATACTTGTGCCTGGCGTTACTCCATCCTAGGTCCAGAATCCAGCATTTTTACTTGTGAAATTTCATCCCATTAATCATAGCCCAATGCTCCCATCTATCTAGATCCCTCTGCAAGGCCTCTCATGCCTCGAGAGAGTCAACAGCACCTCCCAGTTTGGTACCATCAGCAAGCTTCCTAATGGTGTATTCAACTCCTGCATCCAGATCATTGATAAATATATTGAATAGAACTGGCCCTAGAATTGAACCCTGAGGAGCACCACTGGTGACCGGTCTCCAGCCAGATGTACCCCATTCACTACAACACTTTGAACTCTGCCCTTCAGCCAGTTCTTCACCCAGCACACCATGAACCCGCTCATCCCACAGTTGGACAACTTGTCCAGAAGGAGGCTGTGAGGGACAGTATCAAAAGCCTTACTAAAGTCCAGAAAATCTGCATCCACTGCCTTCTGTTCATCCACTAGGTGGGTGACCTTATCATAGAAGGATATCAAATAGATAGATATAGATATATTCTATAGATAGAAGGATATCAAATGATATCCTAAACAGGCCTTTCCCTTTGTGAACCCATGTTGACTGTGCCCGATGATTGCATTATTCTTTAAATGCCTTTCCACAGTACAATCTCCATAATTTTTCCAGGAACTGAGGTTAGACTAACACGTCTGTAGTTCCCTCGGTCTTCCCTCAGGCCCTTTTTGTATATTGGAATAACATTGGCTAACTTCCAGTCAGCAGGGACCTCCCCAGACTCCCAAGACCTTTGGTAGATGATTGAGAGGGGTCCTACCATAATATCCACCTCCTCCTCTTAACTTATGTGCTGCTGAAGATGGGTTTGAGTCATTCCAGTTGGGACAGCCTTGACTCCTTGTGCTTTGCATTCCCCATTAGCTAGGCACGCTGAAAGATTTGCAGGTGGGCAGGGAGAAATATGGGCACCAGGGTAGGTGGGCTGACTGGCAGCCACAAAGCTATGTCAGATTCATGCCAGTCTCAAGCCAGGCCTGCAGTCAGATGAGCTTTGCCGTGCACAGCTTGTCACTGGAGGCAACGGGCCCCATCAGGGATCAAGGAGGTCCTCACCTTGTCCATAGCTGTAAGCGTCACCAAGAGGATGGGAACAGAGCGTGATGGCTGACGAAGCTGAGCAGGACTCCTAGGGTCAGCAGCTTCCCCAGGCAGCAGAGCTCTTGCTGCACACCTCCTCCCATGGTGTGAAGGCAATAGTGATTTCTGAACAGATGCATTAGTGAGGAGAAAAGAAGGGTTTGCTGAGTAATAACCACATGGTTACTACTTTCTAAGCTCATCCATAGTCTCCATGGTCATGGCCTCTTTTGGGGGTCAGGTTGCTCCAGCAGACATTAATTTTATGGTGCATTTTACTAATTATTAACCTCCTTATTCTTCTGAGCCAGATTCTTCCATTCCAGACCGCCTGCCAAATGACAGCATGGTCCACGCCACTGTGAGCTGTGTGCTCCCATGCCGAGACTGTTGTTATTCTACACCACACCCTTCTGTAATGTCAGAACTCATTTCATGCTTTTCAGCTACCATTTTGATACACAGGAGCCCAATGAATTACGCTTTCGTAGAATGAATGAATGGATATTAGTTTTGTAGCAAGTTGCAAAGAACAGCGAGAAACATTGGATCGGGGATAAAAGTAGAAAACACCTTCTTATAGGTATCCTTCTGAGAAAGAGAGATATTTTATCAAATTGTAGCTGTGTTGCCTCAACACTACAAAATGACACTATTATTCTTCTGTCGGTCCCATGAAGGTTTCTTCATGTCAAACTTGCCAGAGTGATATTTAAGCAGAGTAGGGGTTTGGATATTGTTTCATTCTGTTAGCTGTCCTACGTTTGTCTTCATTATGGATACATGATTAGCATCCTCTTAAAAAAAATAGTAACCTCAATTTTAATTTCTTTCTTATGTCCCTAGGCAGGGCAGTGAAATCCTGCTCGAGAACGATGCTTAGACAGTTACTAAGATATAACCTAACAGATTTCAGGGTTAAGAGCTATCTAGTAAGAGTCAGTTAATTATCCCACGTGACATTATTAGTGACGTAATGGCAACCCTTTACAATTAATATCTGCCAGAGATAGAGAGAAGATATTGTTGTTCTGGAAATGTGTTCTGACTGCCCAAAGACTGACTGCTGCATTTTGAAAACAAAAGGACTCGCTAGTTATTCAGGAGAAAATGACCATTTGAGGGGAAAGAGGAAAAAAAGAAATCTATAGTTACCTTTTTCTGCCTGTGTAGCAGACCCGACTGGGAGACTTAAGAAACAAGAATTTTTAATGTTGGATGAAAAAGGAGAGAAATGGGGTAAGGACAGCTTTTGGTATCCAGAAACATAAATAAGAAATCTTTGAAGTCCCAAAAGGTGGTGTATGTGAGAAAATGAAAAGCCTTTGATGAGATGTTGACATTAAAAGGGATCTCTGAGGCCTCTGCACTCAGACATCTTGCTAAAGAGGCAGCATGCCCAGCCCGGGTAGACGGGGAGCAGCTGGCATCCCTCGGCAGCAATCTCCCGGAGGCAGCCTGGGGATGCTGGCAGGGACAGGGACAGCGGCCGGTGGTCCTGCGTGGCACTGGCTGGTGATCCTGTGCGGCACTGGCAGCTGAAGCCATACGCGGCGACTCCAGCCCCCAGTGTGGACAGAGGGTTGGAGATTTTATCAGCAAACATGCAGGCTTGATACAAGCTGAAATTTTAAAACTCAGTCAGAATGTGCAGAGTGGCTTATTTATTTTTAGAAGGTTAGTTTTTTAAAAACATTTTTCTGCTCCTGCGAGAGAGATTCCCTGACTGTGCAACATAAAGCTGGGAATGAAGTCGGCTTTATGCAAAAGGCGTTATCAGATGCACAGAATAATTACACATAAAATTGCCACTTTAATTGCCACAAGTCAGCTGGGGGAGGGAGCAAACTCTTCTTAGCAGTTTGTGGCGAGATTCTAGACAGAAAAGCGACCTCGCAAGACGATAGTATCATTTTAATTGAGACAGACAGAGGTGTTAGGCAAACACATGTTAATTGCCACAATTGAAATTCAGGGCTCAGTCTGACAAAGCGCTGAGTACATCTGCTCCCTGGAGTCAAAAGGAAGCACCTTGGAGGTTTGGGCCTTTGCCAGAACAAGAGGGTTACTTTTGAGTCAACAACTCAGGTTTCCAGACGGTTCCAGACTGTGCCGGAGCGGCGGCAGCAATGCGAGCGGCGGCAGCGGCTCCC